AAGAAAGACCTTAAATGCCCTGCAATCTGTGGACCGGGTATTTGAGCCAATGTTTCAAGAGGCAGGGTTTCCTCAGTTAAAAAGGAAGCAAAGGAATTTGCCGTCTGCGCTTTCCCTAAACATTACCCGACTGTCAAGGAGGTAACAATGGATTTCGTTCTCACTGTATTTCCCAGGCTGGTCTTGAACTCCTAGATTTAAGCAGTTCTCACTGTCAGTGTCCATTCAACAGGGACTACAGTTGTGTGCCCCCACACCTCGCTGTGATGTCTGGCTTCTGAGGTTGAAAGGAAAGCCAAGTTCCCTTCACCAGCCCTTTGATCTGTTCCCTTTGAAGCCAGATAATTATAATCATTTCAGTTATCTTTATATGAAAGCGGCTCATGACTTCTGATTCATTTCTGTTATTTGTAGGTCTCAGCGAGAAAGTCTCCCCTGGGGCCAGACTCCTACTGTAATGTAGCTCCACTGTTCTTTCTTGTTTAAATGGCCACAACTATTTTGGAGAAAACTGAGATACCCAGAGGTGTTCTTGTCCACCATCTTTGTGATGGGCATGTCCCCAAATGTTCCATTTTAACCTGACAAACACATGCTCTTTGAGTTAAGCATGTGTTAAAACATTACCATCTCTCCGCTTTTCTTTCCTCCACCTACCTTCTTCTCCTTCTTCCTCCACCACCGACTTCTTTTGACAAAGTCTCACATAACCTAGACTGGCCTTGAACTTGCTATGTAAGTGAGGATGACTTTGAACTCTTTCTTCTACCTCTCGAGTGCTGGGAATGCAGGCATGCGCCGCTGTGCTCTGTTGTATGTGGTGCTGGGGACTGAACCCCAAGGCTTCACGCATGATACTCTACCAACTGAGTTGTTCTCAGCCTCCATCCGTCTTTCCTTCTTTGAAAAACAATTGTTACTGTGAGATGGGGGGGGAGGTTGAGTCATGCTCATGGTAGTTGTTCATGCTCCCACACGCGTGTGAAAGCCAGAGGATTCAGCTCAAGAGGTTCACGTAGCAGGCTCCTTTACCTGTGGAGTCATCTTACAGACGGCTTCATCTTTCCTTCTTGAACTATGATCTTAAACTGAACTCAGGAACATACTCCTTAACTAAGTATGTTCGGGACTGTGCCTGCCCCTGAAATTCTTTCATCTGTGCATGTATGCACACACACACACACACACACACACACACACACACACACACGTATATATATGTATTATATATACTTTCTGAATACAATCCTGATTATTCTCTTGATAAAAGAAAACACAGTCCTTATTTCAAAGGGAATAGTTTATTCTGGAGCCAAATTCGAGCGACCAGAGCCGAGGCAACACAGAACTAGGCAGCCCCAAGTTCCATGTTCCCCCACCCCATGGAAGTGACCTCATAAAGTTCTATAATAACAGAACAAAGAATGCTATCTATCAATCAAGGCGATTTAAAAATAGACTGGTGAGTACATTAGGGAGGTTGCAGCAAGACAGCAGAAGCTTTCCATAGGCCTCAGATGTTATCTGATGACATCCTTCGCTTTGGGGTTGGTGGAAGCTACTGGGTCTGCTATGCTAACAGATTACAAAAGGAATGCTCATTCACTTTCCCTTCACTGGATGAGGGCAGTTGCTCTCAAAAGCCCCGCACTTCCCTCACCTACTCCAGGTAGCAAATCTCTTCCCACCATTATCTCTGAGTAGTGCTTGGTCTGAGTTTTGTAACCATGAAGGTGTGTACCCGCTGCTTCCATTTACCTTATTATTTATTTCTTGGGTGAGGCGCTGTTTAAAACCCACGTTATCTAAGGCTGGTGTTTCTCCTCCTTACTTACGTCAAGAGAGCTGGATGAAGTGAATTTGAGCCTTCTCAGACAAGGCCGGAGAGCTCCAGATCGGAAGTCTGGAGTCCTTGGCTCTACCTCTCAACTCACAGAGACACTCCGAGCCCTTGATTTCCTTGTCTGTCCTGTTGCCCTCACTCGAGACGATTAAAGGGGTAACTTACATTAACAATCTTATTCTGATCTCAACACTGCATAAGTGAGAAGTACAGGGGGTGACTGGGGGTGTATCCCTGCTGGTAAAGCTTCTGCCATGTATGAATATAGTTCTAGGATTGATTCTAGTGTGGTGGCACATGATAAATTCCAGCACTCAGGAGATGGGGGCAAGAGGATCAGAAGTTCAAAGCCTCACTAAGGTATGTAGTGAGTTTGAGGACAGCCGAGGAGGCGCAATGATAGTCTGCCGCAACATACATAAAGACTTAACCATCATCCCTGGACAGGATAACACAAACCTATAATCTTATGAGGCTAAGGCATGGCCACCAATGCGGAGATAGCCTAGGCAACATAGCAAGAGCCTGTCTTAAAACTCAAACTAAAACCAAACTAAGGCAAAAGTAAACGACAAAGAATCAACAGTCACATTGATGATGCTCAGACAGTGAGGATAAAGAAATATGGTTTAGGTGTGCGCCTGAGAAACAAGTCACTGGCCCCTGAATGTTCTCTCTTAGTGGGTGATCTGGCAACAGTCTAAACAAGCGCAAAACTGCAAACCCCTTTAAACCATTTTGGCTAGGTTTCCTTCATGTGTTCAAGCTGGCCAAGAGCCAGCGTCTCTCCCGTGGACAAACTCTGTACAGAACTTTGGCCAAAGTTACGTCAACCATTACTTCCCTGAGGCTCTTGATGGGCTCCAAAAATACTTCTGAAAGCCAAGAATGAAATCTTTAGATGAGGGTCAACCTCAGGGAAACAGCCCCAGGACTAAGGGGCGTTGTTGGCCAAGCAGCCAAACCACCTTAACCAGGGACGTCTTCCAGCTCCCCGACTGGCTCACACCCTGGGATTGCTCTCGCTGCTGTCATCACCCTTGATGAATCCTCTTTGTTCCAGGGAAGAATCCTGAAGGTCTCGAAGATGTAAATATTTATCAGTCTTAAGTAACTGGGGCACAGCTCTGCATGGTCACGGAGGAAGCCACAGCAAGATGTCAATTTCAGAGCGAGCTCCATCCCTACGCTAGAACCACACATGCTCTTAACTGGTGAGCCATCTCTCCAGTTTCCAAGCAGGTTTTTGTTTGTTTGTTTGTTTTGCTTTTGTTTCCGTTTTAGTCTTTTTTAGACAGGAAGTCACATACCCCAGGCTGTCTCAAATTCTCTATATATCTGAAGATGACTCCTAGTCACCCTACCATCTCATATGCGCTGGGATTACAGGCACAGACCACCATTCTGGCCCCTTTTTATATATTATCTATCTATCTGTCTATCTATCTATCTATCTATCTATCTATCTATCTATCTATCTATCTATCTATTTATCTATCTAGCTAGCTAGCTAGCTAGCTAGCTAGCTAGCTAGCTATTTATCTATCTATCTATCTGAATCAGAATCCCAATAGCCTATAATTTGCTATTTAGACCAGGCTGACCTCCTGCTCACAGAGATCTACCTGCCTCTGCTTCCCCAGTGCTCAGACTAAACGTGTGTGTCAACAGTTGTCTGGCGTCGCAGAGAACTCTTACTGTTCCAGCATGCCTTCATGCAGGACAGTCATGGCTACTCACTCATCCCAGGAGAGAGAGCTCCACCCTATTCCCTTTTCTCCTAGATCCGTTCTTACCTTAGACACACCTTCCTCCTCAGCCTCCCTCCTAACAACACCAACTGTGACGAATTTATAGATTTTTTCCTCTCCTATTGTATAAAGGCTCAATTATTCATTATAGATCTGAACTCTTCTACAAAGCAAGTCAGTTGGAGAGCAATGGATTATATTGGGTTACTCTAAAAATATACAGCTGAGAAAAGTGAACAGTTGGGAGTAATTATAAGGCCTTTTTTTAAAAAAAAAAGGGTAACTTTTTTCTTTTTATAAAATAATAGATGCTCATTATAGAACTTGGCAAAAATACGAATAGCCTTAAAATCCTTTTGTTTGACACGTGGGATTGTGCATTTGTCTGTGGAGCCCAGCTGTAGAAAATATCACCTTGCCCCAGTGCCTTTTCCTTCACATGGTGCCTGCAGGAGGAAAAGACCCAAAGGCGTCAAGGCAAGGAGACCCCAGTTTCTCACCATGAGAAAGGGCCTTACCCCAAAGTTGGAACTCCAGTATTCTTGCTGGATTGAATGAAATACCTCTATTAAAAAATAATTGGATTGACAGCTTTGAACTTATGCTGGCTAATGAGGCCTTCCATACATGGCCAAAAGGAATGCCAGCTGTTCCCATTGGAACCAAAAGAAGCCTTCTCAGTAGAGAGTCTGTTTGGGCCATTGTTTGTAGGTAGAATTTTTCTGTGGCAGCAGTGTTCCCAAGTAACCACTCAGACATCTAATAGTAATTGTAGTGTTTGGCCAATAGCTCAAGCTTATTACTAGCTAACTCTTACATTTAAATTAACCCAGATTTCTTGTCTGTGCTTTCCCATGTAGCTCACAGCTTGTTACCTCATTTTCTACACATCCTGCTTCTGCTACATCTGCTGGTGTCTCCTTGACTCTGCCCTTCTTCATCCCAGCATCCTTAGTCTGGTTGTCCTACCTCTACTTCCTGCCTGGCTACCAACCAGTCAGCTTTTTATTAAACCAATTCGAGTGACAAATGCACAGAAGGATTATCCGACAGAAATTGTTCTCGAGCTCTGATGGACAAGATCCCTGAAGGAGACAGGTGTCTGAGCTGGCTTAGCGATACCTTCCCAAGCTATCCACTTGTGACTTAGAATACGGCTAGTAAAGACCCCTGTTGGCCTTCTTGGACAGTACGGAGAGTGTGGTGGTGGCAGAACAGATAAGAGTCTTCACTTCTGTTCCTGCAGCTAGCTGCACTTTTAGAAATTCTTTTCTAAGGGAACATCAAGTCCACATGCAGAGCTTTGCCTGTCGGGCTGGTCAATGCACCATTGTTCAAGCTATCTGTATTAGTTACTTTTTTTTTCCTGTGATAAAATGCCATGACCAAAAGAAACTTACAGAAGAAAGAGTTTGTTTTGGTTTATTATTCCGAAGGATTTAGACTCCATCATGGTGACAGCAGGCGGGAATCGTGGCCAGAACAGGAAACAGAGGATCACATTCTCAACCATAAACACGAGGCAGAGAGAATCTACTGTGCTGGCTAGTTTTATGTCAACTTGACGCAAGCTGGAGTCACTGGAGAGGAGAAAAGAGAGCCTCAGTTGAGAAAATGCCTCAATGAGATAGGTCTATGGGTAAGCCTGTAAGGCTTTTTTTTTTTTTTTCGTTTATGATTGATGTGGGAGGGTCCAATCCATTGTGGGTTGTGCCTTCCTTGATCTGGTCATCCTGGGTTCTATAAGAAAACCAGCAGAGCAAGCCATGAGGAGAAAGACAGTAACCAGCATTCCTCAGCGGCCTCTGCATCAGTTCCTGTCTCCAGATTGCTCCTCTGCGTGAGTTTCTGTCCTGACTTCCTCTAATGATGAACACTGATGTGGAAGTGTAAGGCAAATGAACCCTTTCCCCTTCAGTTTGCTTTTGTTCATGGTGTTTCAGCACAGCCATAGTAATCCTAACTAAGACAGTTATTCACTATCAAAACCTTGGGAGTGACGAACTTCCTCCAACAAAGCTGCACCTCCCCGGACAGCAGCACCAACTGGGTACCAAGAACCTAGAGGGGACAATTCTCATGCAAACCACCACAGTGCCATGAGCTGTAGTAACTAAATCTGAGGTTTGTAGGAGCAGATTCTATGTATAAAAGACAGGGTTCATTATTCTATCAAAGCCACTTTTTGATGCCAAGACCGCTTTCAAGGAGGTCAGCTTACAGCTCAATAAAATATATCCCTCTAAATTCACATCATTAACCCCCATTTTCCCCACAAATTAAACAATAGGGGAGAAAAAGAGTGAAATGTTTTTCACTGAATCAAAGAGTAGAACAAAAGACAAAAATAGCACAGACACTTGGAGATAATTTGGTCCAATACCCTCATTGCACAGATAATAAAACTGATCCTAATGAGAGGAAGTGACTCAACCTTAGATTAAGTCAGAATCAGAGTCCTGGTTCGTTTATACCCCAACCCAATGCTGCCTCTGCTGTCCCTCCCAGTCAGTGACTGCAGGACCTTTGCGCAGGTGCTCCCAATGAGGTAGTCTCTGATTAAGGTTCATATTCAAATAAAAATGCACAATTTAATGCATAAGTCAACAAAAATTGAATGTCAGATAAACAATAGTATTTTCACATATATATGTCCCTTGTGAACTTACCTTTATTATTTTTACGATCAGAAGTAGTCATTTTGAAACAAGGGCTTATTATGTAGCCCTCTGAAACTTGCCATGGAGAACAGGATGTCCTCAAACTCACATGGGTCCACCTGCTTCTGCCTCCCAAGTGCTAGGATTAAAGGTGTGCGCCACCATGCCCGGCTCATTCTTACAGAATATATGTATAACATATACATATATGCATTATATATATATGCACACTGAAACCACTTGCTCACTTGAAACTCAATTTGAATGTTGGAATTTGAGATTTTATTTTTGAAAAGCAGCACATATTTTTACTTGCTAAACCTGGCAACCCTATGTTCAAAAGGAAAAAAAGGCTCACAGGTTGTTATAATAAGAAACGCTGACAGTTCCACTCCATGTCCCAGCTTGTACAGCTGAGGAAACTGATGACAAAGAGAGCTGTGGGTTCTCTGGGGTCTCACCGCTGCTTGGTTTAAGACTAGGGGGTAGCTGACTTCCAGAGCTTGTCTGACACATCGTTGAGTTCCCCCACCTTAAGAAAATGGGCCTTAGAGTGCATTTCAGTGGTACAGCCCTTGCCCAGCATGCGCGAGTTTGATCCTCAGCACAGGAAAATGTATCCAACTTGTACATGTTCTGAAAACAAAATTCTGAGAAGTCTCCTTTACAGTCAGTTTCCCTACCACCCCCTCTTTAGGGCACAGCAGTCTACTCTGGGCTTTCCTCAATGTCAAAGCAGCCTTGGGCAGCAGGGGATTAGTAGATTATCTTTAGATCAGTCTCAGAGTATGTCTGATCACTTAGCAGGGTTGTTAAAACAGGGATGAGTGGGTCCCACCTAGGTTTCAGATGTGTGGGGGTGGGGTCTGGGTGGGACTTAGAAGATGCATTCCTAACAAGCTCCTGGCTGCTGCTTCAGGAGCCGCCTTGGAGAAGCATGGATGTGTCTGATGCTGCCATGTCCATCCCGGGAGTTCCTGAACTAGCCTAAGAAAACAAAGAGCTTTTGTGCTTGGTCGCCTGTCCCAGTCATAGGAAAAACACATTTCTGTGTTATCAGAGACATTTTTATTATTATCCTTTGTTATTGGGTATATATCTTAGGCGTGTATGTCCACGTTCATATTGTGCCTGCTTGTGTACATGTGTTTCTTTCTCAATTATTCTTTACCTTGTTTTCTTGGTGAAGCTAATAGCAATTTGGCTAAACTGGCCAGCCAGCAAGCTCTAGGGATCCACGTGTCTTCAGGACCGGGGTTATAAGCATATATTTCATAGCATCCAGCTTTTTATGTGGGGTTTTGGGGATCTCATGCTTGCCCAGCAAGTGTTTCACCGACAGAGCCATCTTCCCAGTGCTAGAAAATTTTTGGACTAAATCCTTCTGAATAAGTTTGCTGAGTGGAGACCAATGAGATTGGGCTACAGCAATGAATAAGACAATAATGAGGTGAATTTAGCTAAGAATGGAAAGAGAAGGCAGGAGAGGGACCCACATGGACGGTTCTATGAACAACCTTAAAAATCCACCGCAGTGGGAATGTTCTGTGGCCACTTCATACCTCTTGACGTTTTCCTCCAAGCATAGCTGTCCAATTATGTAGCTAATTGCAGCTGAATGAGACATTTTGTTGAGATTATTCAAGTCAATACTTGAAGTTTTAAGGGCTTTGTTCAATCGCACTGGTGGGAACTCAGTGCCCTATTTCCACCATGGAGCTGGGGACTCCTGGGTGCAGCCCACTCCTTTTGCTCCTCCTCTCTGTGAGATGCCTGGTCCCTGCCCATGGGAACAGTCCCCTCATTGTTATACCTCTCTTGGCTCCTGCAGGAAACCAAGCTTTTAAGGCCATGCTTCTCGACTCTTTCCCCCGCTCCACTGGCCCCTACCCAAGGTTGAGAAGCATTTCTGATGAGACCATCTCCTGCTTGGCATGTAGCAATATATGCATGTCATGACTATTCATCCTTTACCTAATAACATAACTCAATTCATTGGGGTAAAATGCTATTTTAAAAAAAATCAAATTATATCTCTGCACCAAGTCATCTGAGAGTACCAGGGAAAGAAGAGCCTTTTCTGAGAAATTCAGGTGGCCATGGTATAATTCCATGAACAAAGCTTAGTAAGAAAATATACACAGCAGCGAATAAAGAGGAAGGGGTGGAGTGGGCAGAGGAACCCTCCATCGCTCAGCAGCAGACGCAAGAGTCGGCCCTGCTCAATGCTTATGAGTCCCCGGGAGCTCATTTCTAGCTTGCCTGAAGGCGGAGTTCCATATAGCTAGGAGCGTCACACAAAGGGAAATGTTTCCATAAATGTAGCTTAGCTGGCAGCCTCACAGCCGTCCCAGAATATCAGAATGGCACCTCATCTCACACAGTGCAATAGTAGAAAAAGCCGATTTCACCTTTCAGCTAAAAAGTTCGGGGACGGAAATTAGCATTGCCTCCTTTAAGACTGCAGTTGGCTGTAAGGTTCTTGTTTCCTCTCTCGGCCTCTCACCGGCCCGTGATCCCTTAGAGAGGAAGTAGAGCCCAGGAGAGGCCAGGAATGGAGAACTGTGAGAGATTACGAATAAATGAAGCCATTGATGTGCAGTAAAGGAGTGGCTGGCTCAGTCCCAGGCTTCTCCGCTGCTGCATCTTAGAGCTTTCGTCTAAAAAAGGGATGGTCAGATACTGGCCTGAGAAGGGACTGTCCATTATGTAAGAGAACACAGTTGACCACACTGATCTGTAAGAATAAACTGTCCTAGACGAGAGAGGCTAAGGCACCCATCAATCATGGCCTCAAGAGGTACTTCCCAGCAATGTTTCCTGTGGTTTGGCCTCAGCTGTCTATGATCAGCCATTAAGGGGTTCATAGCAGTGACATATGTGTTATCAGTTCTATGTCCGACTTGGAGACCTGTGACGATGTCTGCTGTCAAGCTCTCTCATTAATTCATTTTATTATGTTTTTTTAAAAACAGGTTTCTTTAGACTTATTGATTTTATTTTGTGTTTCTGAGTAAGTATTTACCTGCACCACGTGCATGCCTAGTGCCCATGGGGGTCAGAAGAGGGTGTCAGAGTCCCTGGAACTAGAGATTTAAATGGTTGTAAACCAGTTACAGATGTTGGGAACCCAACCTGGGTCCTCTGTAAGAGCAATAGGTGCCCTTAGCTGCTGCAGCGTCTCTCCAGCTTCTCAGCGTTAGGTTATTTTTGAGACAGAGTCTCGTTGTGTGGCTCAGGCTGTCTTGGAGTTTTGTATGCAGCAAGGCTGACCTGGGACTCTCGATCCTCTTGTTTCAGCCCTCAGTTGAGGAATACAGAGCCACGCTGTCACACTCCGCTTCCTTCTGTCCTCCAAACTAACATACACGTACACAGAAAGTCTCCAAAATATAAATGTTCTTGGAGAAAGGTAGCTCAGTTCCTCTAGGGGGTCCTTATGTTTTTGACCTTCTGGTTAGTTCTCTTCAAAGCACTGAAGAGATCCAGCCCTCACCCTGAAGCAGACGTCCCCCACAAGCCCCAGGTCCTTCCTCTCCCTGGCCAGCACATTCACACATCCACCGGCTGGGCTCACCACTCAGAGCTGTATGCTTCTAAAAGTCCTGAAGTACTTTCCTGAATTCAAGGTGTCTTAGCCTTCTGTTTTGCTTTTTCTGCTGCTGTGATAAAATACTCTGAACAAAAGCAACGTGAGAGAGGAAGGGCGTGTTTTGGCTCACAGTTCAAGGTGCATCCACCATGATGAGGAGATCAACACTGCAGGAGCCTGAAGAAACTGGTTCCATTGCTTTCCTAATCAGGAAACAGAGTGATGAATGCGTGCACGCTGGCTAGTGCCCGGCTCTTTTCCTCTATTTTATCCAGTCCGGTATCCACGGTAGGCAGGTCTTCCCACCTTGATGTACTCAAGGTACCTGCCTCCCAACAGGCATGTGCAGAAGCTCTTCTAGGTGAGTCTAGATTAACACCAACAGTCACGTGACTGTGTTTATTGCTTGTGTTGTCAGCCACAAGCAGACAGCTGGCCTTGTATCTTGTCTAGTTTCTATAGCTCCTTTTCCAGGCCTTGACCTCTAATCTCTTGTGGTTTCTCTGAACCCCAGTAAACATTTTCCACTTAAATTTGTCCCAGTTGGTTTCTGTTGCTGGTAGCCAAGATCCGTGACTGATGGAGTTCCTTGCTCCTGCCGAGTGCTTACTAGCTCTCGCATCTCTTAAAGAAGTAGATTCTCTTTTTGCTGGAGTGGGAGAGCCCATGGCAACAAATTTGATGGAGCTGTCTCAGGTAGTAATGAGTACTTCAGAGTTTAGAGACCATCTTCACATGATCTTATTTGATCCTCAAAAAATCACCCTATAAATTGGATGGCAGATTTATATTCATCTTTGAAATAGGGGAGGTGCTTAGGAGTTAAAGCCAACAGCTCCAAGTGGCAGAGCACAGATCTGAATTTCGGCTGTGTGCCTTCCCAGAGCGTCAGTGGTCCACGGCAGCCTACTATCACAGGTCAAGGGATATTCTGATACAGAAAGAAGTGTGTGTGATAAGAAGCCAGTCTCTTGTAATGTGCCTTTACAGCAGAAGGGCACAGTGAAAGGAAGCTGCTACATCATAACATCCTGGAAGCAGAGAGACGAGAGGCCAGGAACAAGATATATCCTTCAGTTATGTCTCCAGCAGCCAATTTCTTCCCCCTTTCTGCCTGTCCCTTCAGCTGTGAACTCACCGATAGTTTAAACTATGAAGTTAGATCCCTCACCATCTAACTACCTCTCAAACACATACCATTTGGCAATAAGTCTTTAGCATGGGAGCCTTCTGGAAGCCATTGTGAGAGTCAAATCATAAGAGAAAAGGTTGAGCTGAGCAGGTGGATGAATAGAGTGATACCTGCCCCTTTGCTAAGTATCAGCTCAAGCCTGTTCAAGTACGAGTGTGGATTTGGGTCCTGCTCTGTCTTCCATGAGTAGAGTCATCTTGGGCAAGTCACATAGCATCAGTACCATACTGAGAAGTGGCCTGTATCAGAATCAGAATACTCTATGCCTTCAGCAGGATAGGAAGATGGCCTTCTTGTCGAGGCCTGGATATGCAAGTGAGCAACAGACATCTCTCTGGGGAAAGGAGAATCAGGGGGTGCAGAGTAAGAACCCCCAGTAGACTCCGCAGGAGACCCAAGAAAGCCCACAGTGCACATGGCTACAAGAAAGCCCACAGTGCACATGAGGCCAGAATGTGACACAGGAAAAGCCTCTCCCTGGCTCTGAGTTCTGGGGGCAGGCATAGGCCATTCATTAGGTTTTCCCATAGGAATTCCATGATCTAAGCAGGTAGTTTGTCAATAAGACCCAGGATGTCAAATGCACACGAACAAGGAAGACGAGGCAGAGCTGAGCTTCATCCAGCAAGTGCCAGAAAAGTGTGGCCAAAGGAAGTAGCAGAAAAGCTGCAAGGAGCTGGCTGTGGCCTGGCTTTCAAAGAACAGGAGATTGGTAAAGAGCAATGCTGTTCCTGGCATCCCATGCCTCCAAACCAGTGTGTCTCGAAACTTAGTGGGGATCAAGATCACCCAAGGGACTTCATTAAGTGCTGATTTCTGGACTGTAACCCCAGAATTTCTGGTTGGGGTCTGGCACGGGGCTTGAGAATTGTTATTTCTAATATGTTCCCAGAGAAAGCTGGCGGTTCCGGCCAGGAGAACATGCTCTGAGAGCTGTAGTTCTAAGAGGACGGTGAGGAGGAGCAAAGTTGGGGTTTAGTTTGCAAATTCTGCACAGGGAAAATAGAATGTGGCATTGCCGGAGACAGCAAAAAAAAAGTCACAAACCAGGGAGGTGTTGGTGAAGGAAGGAACAAAGGGCTTAAACCCCAAATGACTTTAAGAAGCAGAGAGAAGAGGACCAGGGGATGAAGGTACCTGGAAGGCCAGTTAGGCATGGAAGCATGGAGGTGTGTGTTCTTTGAAGCACACACAACAGTCAGTTCTGGGCTGACAAAGATGGCTCTGTGTTAAGGGCTTGCAGGAGTGCTCTTCCAGAGGACCCGAGTTCAAGTCCCTTCACCCACATTAGGTGGCTCCAACTTTGGAGTTCTGTGCCTTAGTATGGCCTTTATGGGCACCTACACACAGACATAGACAGACAGACAGACAGACAGACAGACACACACACACACACACACACAAATCCTTTTTAGAAATCAATCCTGAAACCTGAGCAATTGCTCCACACCTCGACATAGGTATCTGTGATATTAGAACTGAAGTCTTATGTAGAGTGATAGCAGTTGTGGGAACGATAGCTCAGCGGCAGAATACTTGGCCAGCAGGTGCAATCCAAACCATGGAAACAAACACACAAAATTTTCCAAGTACTCCCCTTGAGTTGAACTGAGGTAGAGTCTGGACATTTTAGTCCAGTCCAGCCCCGCCTTGTGCTGACTCCTCTGTCCTCTCTGGCTCAGGTCATCAGCTCAGGACCACACAGTGGAGCTGACTGAGCCCCTGACTCCTGGGAGGGCCTTTCAGACTTAGGCCACTTCTATGTCTTGTCCCAGGATGAGGCAGAGGCTCACTCATAACCAGCTCTTCTAAAAAGTTAGCATTTGCTAAATGTCAGTAGTTTGCCAGTTATTGAATTATTTAACCAGTACAGGCGACGGGTTCTTTCTCATGTGATGATGATTCTTCTTCTTCTTCTTCTTCTTCTTCTTCTTCTTCTTCTTCTTCTTCTTCTTCTTATTC